CCAAAGTCCCCAGGTATTTCCTGAGTTGGACCTGGCAATTCTAGCCAAGACCGAGAAGGGTCCCTTCCAGGCTGCCTCCCACCTAATCTCAGAAGATGGGGGCACCTGAAGCAGTGCTCTGAAACATGACCACAGTGGTTGGCTAGGTTCATAACGGAGTAGGAAGTTCTGAAGGCACATTGCTCCAAGCCATATAGGATTTTAAAGGTTAACACCAGAACCTTGAATTGTGCCTGGAAACAGATTGAGAGCCAGTATAAATAGGCCAAGGCCGTCAACATCATGGCTGCAGCATTTGGCACCAGTTGAAGTTTCTGAACCATTTTCAAGGGCAGTCCCACCCGGAGCTCATTGCAGTAATCTAATCTAGATGTAATCAGGACTGCCCAGGAAAGGCGGCAGCTGGCTGGTAAAAGGCATCCCTGGCCACAGCTGCCACCTGCTTATCTAGCAGTAGGCCTGGGTCCAAGAGCACCCCCAGACTACAAACCTGTTCCTTCAAAGGGAATGCAACCCCATCCAGTACCGGTGACACCTTAAATCCCAGAACACACCTTCTGCTCACCAGTAACATTTCCATCTTGTCAGGATTAACCTTCAGTATATCAGCCACCTTCCACTCCAAAGCTACCTCCTGGTACTGGTTCAAGGTTTCTACAGCTTTCCTGGGATTGGTCAGAAGCACAAGTTAAAGCTGAGTGTCATCCTCATATTGGTGCCAGCTCAGCCGAGCTCTCCAGATGACGACACCCAGGAGTTTCATGTAGATGTTAAAGAGCATAGGGGACAAGATGGAACTTTCATATTGACAGCTGCTAAGAGGCCCAGAGGTACCAACAAAGTCTCCCTCTGTCTAGCTCCTGGCACAAGTAATTCACCAGGGCAACCAAGGCTGTTTCAATACCAGTGTGACCACTTCCTTTCTCAAGGAGGCATACCTCTCAGACCCAGTCAGCCAGCCCTGCCCCTGGCAGTTTTAAGTAGCCAGCAAGGGCTAGAGTCACACAAGCAGGAGGTAGGCCTCAAACTTCCAACGATCCTGTCCACATGCCCAGACTGAATAAACTGAAAAATATCCCAAACAGCTGTACAAGTCAGCACCTTGACAACATCTGACACTCTCACTGCTAATATAGAGTCCAGATCAGTATAGATGTGGGAGATTTTATTTGCAAAGCCTTGAGCAAAATGGTCACAGTGGGCCATCCAGGTCTGATCCCAACATGCCTCTGATCACTCAGAAAGCACTCTGCTGGCCCACACTGGACAGATGTAATGGTGGCTGAAAGGTGTTGTTTCTGCCTAGAAAGGGCAGATTAAAGACTGGGTGATAATTGGCTATGTCATTTTTCTGTGGGGATTTTTTTTTTTAGTAGTGGATGGATAACTACCTCTTTGAGTGGCCAAGGGAAGGTGCCCTAAAGTAGTGATTGATACAGGTGCCCTGAGTTAGTGAGTGATTTATGATAGACACTAAGGGCTTGTAGGTGTGGTCCTTACTTGATTTTAGAGCCAAGGCAGGCAAAGATGAACCCAGATGAGGCTACCCATCTGCCTTGCAAGAGAATACCTTTGGAAACATTGGACAACCCTCCATTGTGAGTCCCACGCTAAAGACAGCTGAAGTTAGTAAATAGCAGGAGGCAAGGCTCAATCCATATCAACCAAAGCCTACTACAACACACACAGCTGTGAAACAGTCCACACATTTTTTGGACAGCATCAGAAATGGCATTTTGAAGCAAGTCAGATGGAATTGCCGGCCCTCTTGGTGTAGCAAAGCTCCTGAACCATTGTACATTGGAGTGACATACAGCTGAATCATAGCTATTCCTATTGCCACGTACCCATGATAAATACAAGTGCTAGTCAAACATACACACTGGTCATGTTGTAGTCATAGCAGGTAGTTGGCTATGTGCTGGGCATGGCATCCACCTAGGCCTTTCCTCTGTGGGAGGGCAGCCAGCAAAGAGCCTGTTGGTGGGAGATAGTGTAGGCTGTGAGTTGTGTGGGAACTCCATCTGCATTTTCTACTGGGCTGCTACATGTGCTCTGATCCTGAAGGCAAAGGGGACCAAGAGTGTTGGGCCAGCAGCCATAATGGCCCCTGGTAGTCACCAGAAAAAGATGCTACACTGGTACCATGGTGACATAGTACTGACATTATAGTGAGCTCCTACTGAAGTTACTTTTAGTGAGCTTGTGCTTCTGTCCATGCTGACCATTTAATAACAAGCCAGAGATTTGACAGCAAACAGGCCAGAGATTTGAAAGTAAAATATTAAATGCATAATTTCCCCCCCCCCCGGGACTGGTGGTGGAAAGTACTCTCAAGTTACAGCTGAGTTATGGTGACCCTGTAGGCTTTTCAAGGCAAGAGATGTTCCGAGATGGTTTGCCATTGCATGGCTCTGCATAACAACCCTGGACTTCTGGGGAGTCAACCATCCAAATTCTAACCGAGGCCAACCCCACTTAGCTCCTGAGATCTGATGAGATCGGACTAGCCTAGGCCATCCAAGCTCTAGGGTTATATAAATTAAAATATTCCCACTGATTATATTTGTATAAAAAGCATATGTTGTTCAGAACTTCCAAAGCCTTTTTAATTAAGAAGCATAATTCATAAGAATGTGTCTGTTGTTCCCTGCAGAACAATAGATGTTGAAGACATCAAAGAAGACCAAACTATACAAGTAATAAACAATTTTGGATCATGGAACAGATAGTTTTATATATTTAAAAAATCTTACTACCATGAGAGAATCTTTGCCATCAGCAATCCCTGAGCTCAGCCAAAGATGCAGAAAGATTGTTCAAGCACTGGAGATTAGGGACATAAACTCTAAAGTGATCTGTAAATAGACCAAAAAAAAATCTCTAATTGAATATACATAAAAGAAAAGCATGATGATTCTGATTCAGTGGTGGAAATACCAAAATCTTTCAGAAGAGTTTCCTGACAGTTACTTTGTTTGAACATGTTTGTGAATCTGTGGCTGCGATCACAGACACAATTAGCCCTGCCATAGGCATGAATGCCAGGCGGATTTAAAGGGTGCCGTCAGACGCAAACATCTGGGAAGCGCCCTGCACCCCTCAGCAACCCATTTTGCTCCACTGCAGAAGCAGAGTAAAAAGACACTGGGGAAAGTCCGGAAGCAAATGGGTTTGCTGCGGGCCACAGACAGACTTTCCCCTGTCTGATTGCGCCAGCGTGCTCTCATGGCATCAGGATGGTCTGATCAGGCCATCCTGACTCCGTGCCATTCCCCCCCCTTCTCAGTATGCACATCATCGCACACTCCATAGGGAGCCCCCAGTGCTGAGATGAGATTAATCGATTCCCCGTTTAAGTGCATCGGGAACAAACAGCAAAAAAAAAATAATGACTCACCTGATCACGCAGTGGCGGGCTGCCTCCGCAGCTTCCAAGGACTGTGTGATCGCTCAACTGCGGGTCAATTTCCTCCGGAGGGAATAGCCTCACTTCCCCCCCCCCCGGGCGTTATCTCACGCATGTGACCGCAACCTATATTTGAAATTCTGCATTGTAGCATTACAAACTCTGTGACTTCATAACATAAATGTTTCAAAAGTAATAATTTATGCAAATTAGATAGAATCACACTTTCATCCTTACATTACATGATTCACATGATTTGCATAGTTGCGCCATTCACTATGAGAGGCAGGTAGAATTTGTGATTTTGTGTTGCTTTTTTAAAGATAGTTTTGTGAGAAACATATTGCAAAATAATATAATGGTTGTGTTGTGCTTTTAGTACTATGGTGATTTTGCTTCTTGGTCAGCCTGTGCGATTATTGCTCTGGTGAGCAGTCGTCAGTGCTCCATCACAGACCCAGATTTAGTAGGCTACTGAAAGAGCCTCCAGAAACTTATAAGTAGCATATTAAATTGGGATTAGTGCTTGTGGTAGAATGTCACCATATCCTTGTTCAGTGTGGGTTGAAAACATCAAAGCCACTGCAAGTGAGATGCAAGCTTCAAAAAAATTATGTATTTACTGCATTTACATGCCACCTTTCTTCTCAAAGCCGCTCCCATCGTTCTTCTTTCCTCCATTTTATCCTCACACAACCCTGTGAGGCGAGTTAGGCTGAGAGTGTATGACTGGCCCATGGCTACTGAGCAAGGTTACTCGTCCTTGAATAAACCTTTGTTGATCTTAAAGGTGCCACTGGACTCAAAACTTTGCTCTAGTATTTCAGACCAACACGGTTACCCACCTGAATCTATCTTCCATGGCAGAGTCAGAATTTGAACCTGGGTCTCCAAGATCCTAGTCCGACACTAATCACTATACTGCAACAGCTGTTTTGGAATCTGTCCATAGGTGCTTTGTCCAATGACTACTTTGGGATCTGTTCACCTCATGAGGAATTCCCCTCCTATAGCATCAGGTGCAACTTATCCTATGTCCTGACATCAAAACATCATTTCCCTGCCTCCAACCCACACCATTTGCTAACATAGATATCCATAAAATCATGATGTCAAGACATAGCATTATGTTGTTTTATCTATCATGGGGGAGGGAGAATGTGACATGGAACCACCATTTTCATAATGTTCTGCCACAAGGGCAGGGAAACATGCAGTGTGTGCCCCAGGGAGGCTGTTGACTCTAATCTTCAGATTATTTAACATTTCAATTTTTGTATTAATTAAATGTCAACATGTAGGTGCCTGTACACTGAATCATGATATAAGATACATAAAGTAAAAATGTGGGGAGGGGCCATAGCTCAGCAGTAGAGCATCTGCTTGGCATGCAAAAGGTCCTAGGCTCAGTCCCCAGCATCTCCAGTTAAAAGGATCAAGTAAGTGCTGTGAAAGACCTCTGCCTGAGACTCTGGAGAGCCACTACTGGTCTGGTTCAGTATAAGGTAGCTCTCTGTGTGTGTGTGTGTGTACTCTTTAAAAAATGGTTTTAAAATACCCACCTATAACTTTCCCCCCTTTTTGCTTTCAGCTGTGTGACCTACTGCAAAAATTGCAGTTCATTATGACCTATATTGCTCCTTGGCAAATTGCTTGGGGTTCTTCTTTCCACGTGTTCGCCCAGCTCTTTGCAATACCTCATATCCTTTAAGGAAGTTCTGGTTGTTGTTTTGTTCTTAGCTCATGTATACGTAAAAGGTAAAAGAAAAGCATGATGCTCTTTGACAATTTATATTAAAAGTTGATACATTCTAATGGAACTATTTGACCTTTCTGGAGGGAAAACGGTGTTAGAAAAGCAGCACACCTGTTCTAACCAAATCTCATTTGGGGGTGATTTCAAAGATTCAACAATGAAAGATGTGATGTTCTCTTCAAGCAGGAACTTGCATATCTACCCCACAATGGGGCATGAGGGCTCCATTTGCATGCAGAATTCTCACATCTGACCATTAAGAAATAGAAGCATGAGTTTTCAGCTTGCATAATGATATCAGGAACCACAAACACCCTAATCAACTCATGTATATGGTATATTTTTATAGGTAAAGGTAAAGGTTCCCTTGCTCGAAAGCCAGTCGAATCCGACTCTAGGGTTGCGGTGCTCATCTCCGTTTCAAAGCCGAAGAGCCAGCGCTGTCCGAAGACATTTCCGTGGTCATGTGGCCGGCATGACTAAACACAAAGGCGCACGGAACGCTGTTACCTTCCCACCAGAGTGGTACCTATTTATCTACTTGCAATTTCTTGCTTTCGAACTGCTAGGTTGGCAGGAGCTGGAACTTGAGACGGGAGCTCACTCCGTCTTGCGGCACCCGGGTCTCGAACTGCTGAACTACTGACCTTCCACAGCCTGCAGTTCAGCGTCTTAACCACTTGAGCCACCGCAGCTCCATAGTATATTTTTATAACCAATGCTCAAAAACTGCTAAGAGGCACAAGTGGGGAAAGAAAGTCATAAGAAATTTTTAAGATGTCACCACATCACCCAGTCATAGAGAAACATGGTTAGACTACTATTTAGCAGCCAGATACATTTACTTATTTACAAAATACATATCCTGTTTTTCTGCCATCATCTGGGCCACCAAGGCGGCTAACATACATAATAAAACACATTTTAAAAACCATTAAAACCAAATAAAAATATTAGTTGTTGTAGATTTTCTGGGTTGTGTGGCCATGGGTTAGCATTGTAGGACCTGACATTTCACCAGCAGCTGTGACTGGCATCCTCAGAAGTATAACACAGAAAGATGGAGTACTCTCTCTGTCAAGGTGAGAAGAAAAATTGTAGGCAGGTAATTTATATCTACTCAGGAAGGTGGGGTAGGGCTGAGTCATTATCTTGTAGGAGTTCCCCAGGCTGTGACATGCTTTCCTGAGGAGGTTCTTTTGCATATGGATTGGCTGTTGAAATTCTAATCTTATCTGTAGTGCTGTTGTAAGATATAGAGCATTTTGTGTTTTTCAGGACAGGAAACCATGCCCTATTTATTTTTAAACTACTTTCCTATTGAAATTGTGTTTATGTTTATGAATTTAAATGGCTTCCCTATGTAATCTGACATGGTAATTGGATGTGTTTGCTGATCATAGCATCTGTTGTATTTTTATGGTGGGTCTGAATACTGTTTGTAGGTTGTGTTTTTTCATAAGTTTTCCCATCTGATCAGTGATTCCTTTGATATATGGCAAAAACAATTTTCCTGTGGGAGACTGTTTTTCCTCAGTTGTTTGTCTTACCTTTGGTTTAATCAGTCTTCTGATTTCATTCTTGGAGTTGCCATTTGCTTGAAGTGCGTGGTTTAGATTATTTAGTTCATCATTCAGAAAAATACAACAGATTCTACAATCGGTAAAAGACAGAAGAGACCCCCACACCTCTGCAGGAGTATACCACATACCCCGCAGTTGTGGACAGGCTTATATCGGGACCACACAGCGTAGCATGCAGACAAGAATAAAAGAACATGAAAGACACTGCAGACTTGGCCAACCTGAAAAATCAGCAGTGGCTGAACATAGCCTAACTCAAACAGGACACAGTATCTTATTCCAAGACACTGAAATGCTGGACAACACATCCAATTACCATATTAGATTACACAAGGAAGCTATTGAAATTCAAAAACCATTGACAGAGCGAGTACTCCATCTTTCTATTATATCTCTGAGGATGCCAGTCACAGCTGCTGGTGAAATGTCAGGTACTACAATGCCGAGAACACGGCCATACAGCCCAGAAAATCTACAACAACCAGAGGTCATTTCGGGGGGGATCGCGAGGGATCGCGAGGGATCGCAGGGGGCGGGGCACATGACGAAGCCCCGCCCCCTGCTTCCGGCTGCCCCGCTTCCCGCCCTCATTCAGTTAAGAGGAGGCAGGAGAAGAGGGAGGGTAAGTTGCTTCCTCCCTGCCTCTCCCCACCCCTGCCTGCCTGGGGCCAGGGAGGGCCTTCGCGGGGCTTCCTCACACTCCCGCCGGCCTTGCAGGTCCACCGCCGGCGGACGGGACCATTGGGGGCGGGGTGTGTGGCCTTATGACACACTTCCGATGATGTCAGGGGGTGTGGCCTTATGACACACTTCCGGTGATGTCAGGATGTGTGGCATATGCTAATGAGTTGTGCTAATGAGTTCCCCTAGCTCTTTTTCTACGAAATGACCCCTGACAACAACTAATGAATTCCGGTCGTGAAAGCCTTCGACAACGTATTAAATAAAAATACTTCAATAAAAGAATTATAACCAAGCTAAAATACACATACAAAGACATAAAAACAAAACATAGGGCAGGCAGGAGGTATCACTGAGGGAATACCAGATGAAAACAAAGTCTTCACCTTGGGTTGTCCTCTTCTACAGGAGCTTTTTAAATCCTATTTCGCTCAGTTGCTTATTGGTATGGGAGCGCAGATGTTTCTCTGCCAGTTAGGGCTTTCCCATTTATTTCAATATGACAAATTCCAGAAAAAGTAGCAATGTTAGTCTGCTGCAGTAAAACAAAAAGGAATCTTCTTGTACCTTAACATTCAAGGTGCTATGTGATTTTGTATAGTTCACTGAAACATCTATGTTGATCGCTTACCTCCATTACATTAGAATACTCATAAATCTTTGGCATTAATATTTCTGTAAAGCTAATTTTTCAGGTAGCATTAGGAATTTTTTCTCTATCTGATATGTCCACCTTACTTTCACTTTTCTGTGTTTCCACTTTCTTAGTTCCTTACAATTATCTGACAGAGGTGACTTTCTGTTCTTTCTAAGCCAGTATGAATTACCAGTCCATGATGCTCTGACAGTTGAACTCTGTTGACACTTTCCTCCCTCCCTTATTCTCCCCTTTGGCTTTTGAACTTGGAAGTTCTGAGGGCAGATCATATCATATGCCCACTAATAAGCTCAGACACCATTTTAGAGCATTCTCTCTGAAAATATTGGAGAAGTTACAGTTATATACTGGGTAAATATTTGTTGAATCTGCAGATTATCAGAACATGACATATTGTTACCAGATGAACTGAAATATTTTATTCATATATGTATAAAAGCATTCTAAACTGCACTTCAGTAGTTTATTATAAGAGAAAGAATAAAGAGGCTTTTGCTCATATATGATTGTGTGGTAAGAAAACAGTTTTAGATATCATTCCAGTACAGTATTCCATAATTAATTTAAATGGCAAACAGCCCGACACAACTAAAGTAAAGCAGTAGTACCAGCACTTTCAGTGAGGGAGTTAAGCACAAGCTTAAATCTTTGCCTCAGAGCTCAATGAGATTAAAAAGGTCTTTACCTTGGCTAACTTTGCATCCAGGACAAATTTTAAATACCAGGTACATAGTATTGCATTGGACTGAGATATGGGGAAATACAATTAATGTTTTTTGTATACTTTTCAATATGCTGTACATTTCATGGTATAACATCCCCCTCTCTTGATGAGAATCTCAAAGCCTGTGATGAAAATGCCTTTTAGCACTTCACTGTAAATAATGAATAAGTATAAAAATAAGAGCCCAGATGCATCTGACCAGTGATCCATCTAGCCCAACACCAGCATTGTGCCTAACCGTCCATGACTTTCCTGCTTCTCCCTCCTGCTGCAGCCCACTGATCCCCCCCCCCGAGTTTTGTTCCCAGGAGTCAGTGGACTATCAGGAACAGCTTAAGGATCAAATGGAGGGTCTGCATTGAGAGAGGGAATCTCTGTTCCCTCTTCTGCAAATAGAAATGCTGTTCTCTTAGATGAACTGCATGGTTGGATTCAGTCCTCTATGTTTCCCAGGTAGGGTTGCCAAACCCCCCGGTTTGCCAGGGGTCCCCCATTTTGGGGGGGGTTCTACCCGCTGCCGGCCAGATGGCCAACGGGAGAAGCCCCACCCCCAACACCCACAGCCACCCATCTCTCTCCCTTTAAGTGTGTGGAACCCGTGTTTCCTCCCAAGCCCGATCTCCGCTTGAGATCAGACTTGCAGGGAAATGCCAGCTTCGTCCACTTAAAAGGGAAATGCGGCTGCTCTTAAAGGGGAAATGCCGGCTCCTGCACTTCAATGGGAAACGCCGGCTCCTGCACTTAAAAAAAGGAAAACGCCGGCTCCTTTAAGTGCAGGGAACTGCCGTTTCTGGAGATCCGGCATGCGGGCGGGTGTGGGGGGGTGGCGGACGTCCCCAACGTGATGTCATCATGTCGGGATGCCCCGCCCCCTCCAGGAACACCCCCAAAGTCCCCCGCTGGGGGTGGAAGATGGACTTTGCAACCCTATTCCCAGGGTAGCCATCCAAAGGCCCTTAACAGGGCCTTTTGTTTGCTGTATCTGTTTGTTTAAATATTGATATCTTCCTTTCTCCCGGAAGGGACCGAAAGTGGCTTAAAACAATTGAAAAACATCATACAATATGTATGGACCAATAAAAAAATAAAATAAAATAAATCCAACTGTTGTTGCCCCAGCAGATGATTCTGAGATATCTTTAAACATAGTCATGAGGGTTAGATGGAATCCCTACTGATGGTCCTATCATCCATAACGTTTTTTAAGCTCTTGTAAAGTAATCTAAGCTTCAAAAATGAGTTTAAAAAGAACTTTGAATGGGTTCTGGTAAGCCTAACCAATTTTCTACATACGGTACAAGGGAACTGTTGGTGTTAGAAATCAATACTCCAAGTTCTGTTATAGCCTCCATCATAACTCTTGAGGACTTGCAGATTTAGGCCTAGGGCTCACTGGGGTGGTGAAACTGTGCCTTCATATTACTGCTTCAGACTGCAATGGGGGATGGATCACATGATGGAATTCTACCTTAGACATTCCCTAGACATAGGAAATGAGTGTATATATCTATCTTTCTATCTATTCAATTTATAACCCACACCCTCTCCTCAACAGGGGAGAATTAAAACTTGAATAGATAATAAAACCTATAAATGCAAATGATTACAATAAAAACAGATTCTAATTGAGATTTAGTCAGTCATCAGCTCTGGAACAAATCTGGACAGCCTGCCAAGCTCACCCATTCTCTTGGTTAATTAAATGCTGCACAAAACAAGGCCGTCTTGCATGCCCTACGGAACCCTAATAGATCCTGCAGGGCATGAATCGCCTCAGGAAGCTGAGTCCAGAGGGCCATAACAACCATCAAGAAGGTCCATTCCCTACTAGATGACAAACAGGCTATTCATGGACCGGGCACCTGCAGTAGGCCCTGTGATAAAACCTGAAGGGGGTAACGGGGGACGTATCTGAAAGGACAGGTTAGGTAGGATATTTCTCCCTGACATCTAATTTTCTGAATGTCCCTTTTTTGAAATGTAGGAACTTTCAGTGGTATGAACACTCACCTATAGCCCAAAGTGGTACCGTCCTGACACAAATGTACCATCTCAGAGGTTCTTAGCATGATCTTTAGCAGCTACCTGTTGTTTAAGTGCTTCTGCCTGTCTGGGAGGGGGGGGGGATCAGTACAATAAATAGGCTCAGAAGGTGCCAGGAGGACAGCGTAAAAATGCAGTTAATTCATTTGTGTTACCTTAACTTGAAGTGTTCAGACTCTGCTATGCTCTTCTTCCAAACTCTGGCCACTGCTGTCTTTTCTACTCCACTGAGTCCGTTTCTAGGGAGCGTCATTTTCCTCACCTCATATGCCAGACCAGTGAAGTTCTGGGAAAGGAATTACAAGTAAGTCAATGTGTTATAAACCTATTCTTTTTATTACTAAATATGTTATGGGTTTAATATTTCTAGTTCTGCTTTTACATTTTTACCCATTTATGTTGGCCTTGAGTATTTTGTAGATTTGTAGCCATTTTGAGAAATGAATGTATTTAAACTGTCATCAAAATGTTGCAGAGAACCTGTCACTTCACATTTACTAGTTGTAGAGGGCAACAAAAAGGGGTGAGGGAGGGGAATTCTAACTATGCTGAATCAATAGCTGCTGACATTCAGAAAACTAAATCTATTTGGCCTTTGGCACTAGAAGTCAAAATGGATTAATACAGTGTACGTTAGCCAGCTAACATTCAGCCAGATGAGTGAGGGTGGGTGGGGAGGGGAGATCTCACCTTTCAGAGTATAAGAATTAAACTTCATGTGACATGTAATCATGAGCAAGAAAGGGGAAAAACCCAAACAGCATACTTCTTTGCTGGAAAACCATTTTGGGAGGGGATAATATTTCAGTGGAGAAATGGGATGTACCCACCACTTTTGTACTGAAACTTGCTGCTCCAAGCTGCTCTTCTTCTTAAAGGGGAAAGCAGCTGGAGAAGAAGAGAGAAGATTTATACCCCACCCTTCACTGCCTGAAGGAGTCTCAGAGTGGTTTATAATCTCCTTTCCCCCCCCTCCCCACAACAGACACCCTGGGAGGTAGGTGGGGCTGAGAGAGCTCTTTTGAGAACTGCTCATGAGAGAACAGCTCTGAAAGAACTTGTAACTGACCCAAGGTCACACCAGCAGCTGCATGTGGAGGAGGGGGGAATCAAACCCAGTTCTCCCAGATTAGAGTCCGCTCTCCTAACCACTGTACCAAACTGGCTCTCCAGTTGTCATGGGAAAATGGTATCAGGAAAAGAATTTCCACCCTTTACCACTTCTCTGCCCCTAATCACCCTCTCTCAAAGCGGCTTTTCCATAGAGTCTTTCACACAACATTCTGAGGGGAATGTAAGGACAGTAGTGGGGTCCTGGTTCCTTTACCTTCAGAAGCATCTTTTTGGGTGGCACATGGACTGCAGGAGATTGGTAGACGGGAAGATCCATTCTGTAACAGGAACTCCTGCTTGTAGCTCTTTGGATCCAACTAAGCATACATTGTGTTGCCTACCCAGTCAGCACATTATCGCCAGATGATCTGAAATGACATTGCTTGTACAAAGATGCAGTGTAACAAAACACTAAGCAGAAGGAGAGTAAAATGGAGTATGTGACATCTGTAACATTTCTTTTACTCACATTTTGCATGCTGCAAAGCCAGCTGTGTAATCTCTGGACCGTGTATTAGCAATTTTTCTGATAATTCAGTAATGGGAATCCATGGCAGGATGGTTATGCTCCACTTGCCAAGTACACCATGTCATTGTTGCCACATTGGCACAAGACACTATGTAGAGTTTCATACAGAGTTCACATCAATAGGATCAAAGTGCCAATAAACAAAAGAGCTTTGATTTGTATCTTTGTTTTTCATTAAGTTCTCTCCTTCTTACCTCATAATTCAAAAGAACATGAATTTTCTTCAATTGCTTACTAATGCCTCTGTGTGTGTGCGCGCGTGCGCGCGTGCTTACTCTTATTAATTAAAAGCCCACTAGGAATATCTACTGTACAGAGCCAAATGAAATGAATGGGAATTGCAGAAAAGCATGGCTGCAAAATTTTCAGCACTCATGATAAGTGGGGTTACCATACGTAGCTGAAAAGCAGCTATATTAAATTATTATAAAACTTCTGATCAATTATGAGGGTGTTGCCAGTTTATTGTGCAGCCTGCTAAAAAGTTGTTTTAAATAGAAGTACTTTTTAAAAAGTACAGATGACAGGGTTACTGTTCCTGATGTTTCTCTAAGTCCACTGTGTATCTGTAAATGTCCCAACCCTTTTTGACTCTATAGATGCATTGCTGACAGTTTCCTTGCCCGCCTATGGTTATTTGGGTTTTTTTTGGGGGGGGGTCAGGTTGCCCTTTAGGACAACCCAGTGATTCTTCCCTCAAACATAAAACAACCTGTGTGTGTGTGCATGGGAGAGAGAAAAGGAAAGCTCCCCTGCTCTCCTGTCAAAATCTATCTGGTAGTGGGTGTTTGATGTGGCCAGGTTGTGAGCGAAGTAACCCAGAAAGTCTCTCAAAGCAAAAAAAACCCCAATTGTTAAAAGGTTTTATTCTATTAGCATACTAATAGGAAAATCTAAGAAGGCAATAACTATGGGATAAGGGGGGGGACACACACAGTTTGCTTACTAACTGAACTTACAAATTTCAAGCATCTCTGTCCTAGCGAAAGGAATACAAAGGCTTTTACCATGCTGGCCCATATTTCAAGAGGTTCCTCAGAAGCAGGGAGTTCCTTTTTGAACCAATCAGAAAATGAGGGTTTACTAAAAACTCTTGCTAAAAGAAAGTCTAACCAATAAGTTTTGTCCTTATGATCCTAGCATATCTTTGCACACAATCCTTTTGAGAGCCAGTTTGGTGTGGTGGTTAAGTGCGCAGACTCTAATCTGGGAGAGCCGGGTTTGATTCCCCACTCGTCCACTTGCACCTGCTGGATGACCTTGGGCAAGCCGTAGTTCTGATAAAAGGTGTTCTTGAAAAAAAGAGCAGTTTCTCTCAAGAGCTCTCTCAGCCCCACCTAGCTCACAGGGTGTCTGTTGTGGGGAGGGGGAGGGAAATGAGTTTGTAAGCCGCTCTGAGACTCCTTTGGGTAGTGAAGGGTGGAGTATAAATCCAATCTCTTCTTCTTTTTGAAAAAAGAATGGGGGGGGGAGCATGTGCAGTGTAGAGGAGAAGGTGTCACATATCAGACTAGAGGAAATTCTCCATTACTTCCCACTGGGTTGACAGGTTATTGTGACAGATGGCCAGGTGTGACATCTGTATGCTAATTATGCCCCCCCAATCTGGGATGCTTATATGCTTTGTTCATCTCTGTGAAATGGAGTTTTGTGCTTCATTGGAAACTCAGAAGAGGCCTGACCTATTTCTTCCTGAAACACTGGGATCTTTCCACAACAAGCACCATCTTAGAAGAGGCGTGCCTTTCTCACACAGATGGTGCCTGCTAGGACACGTTCATGCATCACCCCAAAACAAAGAATGCTTTTCTCCCCTTTTGAATGGTTTTATTCAGATGCAAATGTATGCAGATTGCAATTGATTTATCAATTAATCGACCCAAACTCATACAATTAATTGACTAAGATTCCTTTAATCAGGTGACAGCTCTAATTTCAAGGGATTTGTGTAAGAGACATTCCTGGTGGATTTCATTCTGTGCTTGTAATGATTTCAGTGAACATATGCATGCTCATGCAGACATAATGTTAATCACTGCCTATGTGAATTACTTATTCATACGGAATTGCTGCCAGCCCCAGAATAAAGAATTATCATTCCATACATATATTCTTGGCAGCTTGAGAGAGGAAAGAAAGCCTCAAATCTCCAGGTACACAACTAGAACTTGTTAAATTTTCAGATTGTGTATGTGTATGTACTAATGAGCAGCAAGTGCTGTGACTTCCCCCCCCCCCCCCGATGTACTGGCTTGTTTTCATTCAACTCCTGTCCCTCAGTGTCCTCCTTACATGAGACATAAAAAAAGTTTATAAATTGGGTTTAGTTTGTGTGATTTTAGTGAATGGAAGTGAGTTTTAAATCTGTACATATCAGTGGCAAAATGCTAAAGTGAAGAATAAGTTCCGTATTTAGACGAGATAATGTTTTGTTCCCGCAGGGAAAAGGTCTAAGAATCCTGTTAATTTACTTTTAAGCCACTTTTAAAATTGCAAGTAGATAAATAGGTACCACTGCGATGGGAAAGTAACAGCGTTCTGTGCGCCTCGGCATTTAATCATGCCAGCCACATGACTACAGAAACGTCTTTGGACAGCACTGGCTCTTCAGCTTGGAAACCGCCCCCTAGAGTCAGATTCGACTAGCTTTTGAGCAAGGGAAACCTTTAATGATAACTTTGCATTTTTTGACATTCATTGAAGTACTTGATGGGGAGGGGTTAGTGTTGCCTTAAATATAGAAATGATATATTCATCATGGTTGTCTTAGCATTTATCTGACTACATATTTTGTTTATTATTTACATTATTTATACCCTGCTTTTCTCACTGAGACTCAAGGCAGATTACACAGTGTAGATCAAACACTATCAACAGGATGGGGTATCCAGTAAACAAAACAATAAAGATTAGATTGCAGGAATCAGAAAATGGAGCTGAAACAAAGCATAAGCATTAAGATGAGATGACATAGCAGAATCATACTTATGTCAGCAGACAGTATGTACTATACACAGTGGTGTATTCCACAGTCCCTACTGCTTTACCAAAGTATCTTTCTGAAACCTTCTGTTACAGTACAGCCCTAATTACCAATGTATAATTCAATTTTGCATAATTTGCAGAAAGCCAGGAGTGTGGGAGGGAGCCTTCCTGACCTCATCAGGCAGGCCATTCCATAAGGCAGAGGCCACAACAGAGCATGCATGAGTACAGGTGGCTATTGATTTTGCCTATTTGCCAAGTGGCACCTGCAGGAGGCACTCGTCCAATAAGCAAAGCTGTTCTTTAGGAGTATAGGGAGAAAGGCAGTCCTGCAGATATGAGGAACCTAGGCCATTTAAGGGCTTTGTGTGTGAGAGTCAGTATCTTGAATTGAGCCTGGTAACTGATGGGCAGCCAATGGAGTGACTGCAGAATGGGAGATATATGCATGCTTTGTCTAGCTTGTGATAATAACCATGCTGTGTCATTTCTTCACCAACTGGAGTCTCTCCATTTACCTATGTAGACTGCATTACAGTAGTCTGGTCTCAATGTTATCATGGGTTAAGCTGACTCTAAATATTATAAAAATGCAAAATTTATTCAGGTGTACACATTTTAAAACTTAGACTCATTAAAAATATACCATTCAGACATAAAAAAACTTCTCAACATTC